GAACAAAAAACAAGGCATATTTATGGTGGGAGGGATGGGTAATTAAAAAGTCATAGGAGAGGGGGAAGGAGTATGAGAGGAGAGGGAATGCGTAGGCTTGGGCGCCAAATGGCCAAGTCAGCACCGAAAGTGGGGTGATTATCGAGGATGTTGGGCAGCGCAAACACACTGTCCTGTGAGTATGTCTCTGAAGATGAATCCGCGACGGATTTCGAAACGTCAGGCGAATAAATATATGGTCCCAGCGATCGAGTCATCTTCTACTTCTCGATTACTTCCTGGGACTCGCATGTTCGCTTGTATTAGCAACTTAAGAATACTCTATGCAGCTACTGTTATATGAGGCATTTTGGCTAATGTGCTGTAAGACAATGAGGACTGCGATTATAGATCAGATCACCGTCTCTAGAGATGAGTAGTCACACTCAGCACTCTAAAAGGCACACCAGAAAAAAGTCTGAATATCACAGGGGACAGACGACGGAGAATGTGGGTAGATTTATGCATTTATGTTGGGGACTTATCCTACTCGCATTCAGCCAATCATAGGTCTGACTACCAAAAAGCCCGAAACAGTACTATCAGTCTATCTTCGCCTATGTTATTATAACGTCAAACACGGTGCACTGGCAGTGAAGAGGTTTGACCATTTTTTCCCAAGTGACCGTGCACAGCCTCGATACTGAACACACCCTTGCATGGGAAAAATTAGTATCGCGATAGGTTGCCCCTCAAAAAAGTGCCGAAAACGTCCTGAGGCAATGCACTCCGATGCTGCCATCGGAATATTGAGTCCGATGCCGTATACAAACATCTAGAGAAAAAATAAAAGAGACGAGAGCCGACTGATGCAAACGAATGGCTGATTCCAAACGACTATTCTTTTTTTAGCATTTAGGATGGTAACTGTTTTGTGCACTTTATTTGAAGTCTGGTGGCGTTCTGGAGAAAACAGCACCGAAATTCTGCTAAATAAACTTACCTTGATGTTGTAACTAACCATACTAACAGCCTAGGTTCTAGCTAAAAGGCCCAGAAACGTGTTTCGCCGGTACTCTGCCGCTGCCAGACACAACTGCGAGTGGTCCGGTTCATCAGTGGGTCCCCCAGCTTTCCCTGTCTGCTTTACAGTTCATGTACCGGTTTTGAATGTTCAGCTTTTTAATCTCCTGAGAAATTATCCTTCTGTTCGCGGTATGTATCAGTATATTTAAGATCTATAGGCGTAAAAGTTTTCTCAAAGAACGTATTTCCTTAATATTTTATTAAGTGATGCTTGCCTTCCAAGATCAATGTTTTCAATGTAAGACAGACGCTGCCCTGTCGCTGCCTTTGGGCTTGCCCTCAATCCTCGCCAGCAGCCGCTTAAAGTCTAGCATATATTATACACAGAAATACATATCTGAAAGTAACACGGGCATAGCTGGCTGATGACGACTTATAATCCAGACTTGGCCATTCGTCTCCCATGTCCTTTTCAGTAATGTTATTCAGTCTATAATATATGTTAGTCGTTGAAACGCTGCTGGCAGAGCTTGAGAACGAACCCCAAGACACAATGGAAAGAATCAGAGTGATAACCGATGGTTGAGCGCCCCCATATCGTTGTGTTTCTTTAAGATCAAAACAGGCAAGGCAACGAGCACGTGGCAAAGTGGTTAGAACCTTGCGCTTTTTTCAAACAAATTCGTGGGTTTGAGCTGCGGAGATCGCCACCCCTGGGGTTAGGTTTGGCCGGCGGACGATGGCTAATAAGCCAGAAATGACCATTCCAGTCTCCTTTGTCTTTTGCATTAATATATTTGTCCGTATGAGATATAAATAATTATAAAATTAATCGGTGTGGCGAGTGCAGGATCATGTCCTAAAATATTTTAGAAGAACGACGATAGCTTAGTTAGTTGCTGACACCGTTTCCGAGACGGTTTTATTTTGTCTGGCTTATACTGATCTGACTTATAAATTGATCCCATCCATTATCTTGTTTCTATTACTCGATTATACTTTTTTTCAGATTCGATGTTACAAGGGATTCAAGGAAGCTATTGATGGCCTGTCATCATTAGCCTGTCTTGTGAATAACGCTGGGACAGCTTCAGGCGTGGACGAAAAGTTTCTTGACAACGAGAAGTGTACGTTTGATTCCCTGGCGTTTGTTATAAATCTCAATGTTCTGGGCTTCACCTGCGCCACCAAGGCAGCCATGGAGAAACTCCTAGACAATGCCGCTGTCAGAAGACCTTTTCTCATCAACATCAGTTCCATAAACGCCATAATTAAACCACGCGTGCTGCCAATCTACTCTGCAAGCAAGTCCTATGTCAAAACAATGAGTGAATGCCTGGCCACGCTGGTAGCAACACGCGGCGTCCGAGTGCAGACGTATATGCCCTGTGCTGTTGCAACCAATCTCGCGCAGATTTCTCCCATCTGGCCAATCATCCCTTCAGCTGAGGAGTATGCCGCGTCTGCTCTGGACATGCTTGGCGTCGAGGAAAATAGTTGTGGATACTTTTTCCACAACTTTCACTACGTCGGATTCAAAGTGTACTTAACAGGCCGCAAACTCCATGATCTCTGGTGCATGTGGTTTAAAGGATCGAAGGAGTCCGACAAGAAAGAATAAGTGACTCGACAGTCATCTCAAAAATTCAAAGACTGACAACCACTACAACCCGTCGAATTCTAATTCTGCATTCATACTAGAAGAAAGTGTTTTAGGTCTAAATAAATCACCGGTTTCTTGTCCTTTCATCCTTACTGTGACAGTTAAAGGTGGATGAAGTCTGCGCACTGGAGTTTATCTGATGTAGAAGAAAAGATGAAATGTATGTGCTTTTACTGCGGACATTATTCGCCGCAGCACCAATTGATGAAGACCTCCACCGCAAGCTGAAGGTTTCTGCACTTTAAAAGTATGGAATAAGCCGTTTAGAAGGCCTTGAGCTCGCCGTTAGGCACCTGGATCGAGGTCTTCTGGCAAGACACATCTAAGAGTTATGGGCTACTCCAATGCCACTGTTTTTATATTCGGCCCTGTTGATCGAGGAATTAAATGATTAGCAAAATAAGCATGCATTTTAAAATAAGGCGGTTTTCCAGCACGGATAACATGACATGTGGGCGGACATCGGAGATCATCTTTCGAGTTACCGCTAGCGCCAACACCGTGAGACTCAGGGCCGTTGCCTGTTACGACATTGCTCATCGATCTGAAATGATGATCCCGCCTACAAAACCTGAATTTTATTATCTCAGCTAATTGATACAACTGCAAGTAGGGCATTACTTAAACGAGCTGGTCTCCTGTCGAGGCTGACCTACAAACAACAACTACATAGATGCAAGTCAAATGCTACTTCAGTTGTACACCTGTCGAGGGTTGGTTGCTGTATCAACAACAGAGGGTTCCCCAAATCACTAGTCAGGAAAGATGGAATAAACTGGCACACCTTTACTGTGGGAGGGTAAACGGTAGTAAGGCTCTGTCACGTGCCAGTTGCCAGCAATTTCTGCGCGCCAGTTGTGTCCATGAAGTTGTGTTTGTTTTGGGGAATTGATTGCGGGATGAAAGCTTTGTCGTCTGCAGCCAATCAAATGAAGCGGGAGTAC